TGAGTCAACTATTAACTTCTAGAATTTACTCTCTAAAGAAGAGATCAGACAAGACAAATATATATAGTTTAGCCTAAAAAGTAACACCGAGCTAGATTTCCAATAAGTACAATAGCCAATTTGTAATAACGCATATAGTTCTATCGCTTCCACAACAACTCTGAATTTCTTCTTCTCTAGAAATCACACTTCGCAACGTAAAATCAATTCATAAAGTAACAGATTATTTTGTTATTTTCAATATCTATGATCAATGTAAGAACCTATCACAAAACAAATCACAGAACATCTCCATCAGATCACACGAAATTTCAGTTTCAAGAAGTTAAAGAAGGAAGAAAAAACTATCAACGAAACCTTGATCGTCTCCTCATGGATACCGACGTGAACGTACGAATGGAAGCAGGCCATGTCGAAGTCTTTACAAGGCGGTCTGTGCTCCTGCTGTTGGTCGGAAACCCTAAGACCAGCGTCGTCATGGCCATCTCTGGACTCGCAGAACCTAAAGCCGCCACGAGGTCCTCGACGGCCTCGTCCTCGTTGAGCCGTCGCCGATGATTACAGATCTTGACGATTTGGAGGAGATCGAATATCCGACTAGATGGTGGCCTCTCATTGAAGATGATGGCGGCATCAGAATAGCGGTTCGAACGGCGAGGAGAGAGAGAGATCGCGAGGAAGAGAGAGATCTCGAGATGTCGACTGCAAAGCAGATCTAACCAGATCCGGCGACGGAGAAAAGGAAACCGGCGACGGACTGAGAGTGTTGAATAGAGAGAGAGAGAGAGAGAGAGAGAGAGAGAGAGAGGAGAAACCGGAGAAGGAAGGGTGAAGAGAGAGAGAGAGCGACGAGATGAGCGACAGAGTGGGTGAGCGGAAAAGAGAGTGGAAATAAACTATGGTTTGGAAATAAGGGTATTTTAGTCTTTTAATTTATGATCAAAATATCTCCAAAAATTAAAAGGATAAAAACCTTTTATGAGTAGTTTTAATTAATCTAGTGACTTAAATGGATAGAATATGTAATTCCCTCCGTAACAAATCATTCGCAGAGGTCCAGCCCATGGGAAACTTCAATTTGAAAACCCTCATCCTTAGTAAATAAACAAGAAAATTCTTATTTAAATCATGATTTGTGATTTATTAGAATATTTTCTCTCATAAAAAATACACGTAAATTAAAAATGGTTCTAATCACATAGTTTTAATCCATGAACCAAACGGGCTCATGAAAAAAAAATAAACTGTTGGTAGTTCTACTTTTTCTGCCGTTAAATTTGTAGTAAAAACTGTCTATTTTACATAACTTTTGTAAACTAATGTGATTTTAATCAGATTAACAGTTAAAAATTGATACTACTAATAGGCTTATCAGAGAAAGTCTCGTACTAAAATAGGAGAATGGCACACTAATTTATTGTTGCATGAAAAATGTTACTTCACCCCTAATATAATGTTAGATTTAAAATGAAAAATAACTCCTTAAAAACAAAAACCAAAAAGTTTAAAACAATTTTTTTTCTACTAAAAAATTAAAAAGTTTGCTCTCCTCATTTTACCCCTTTGCCAATACAGATGGAGCCATGCATGTTCACCTAGACTAGCTGGCTTCCATAGTCAAGTATTATTACACAAACATTATAAACTCCTTGCTTAAAACTGTACCAGTAAGTTTTTTAGGGCTTATTCTTTTAGAGTTTAACTTGAGTATAATTCTTGAGTTAAATTTGAGTTGAACTTGTAACTTGAGTTTGTGTTTGGTTGTGTACATTTGAGTTATGGTTTGAGATAAGAATCTTTTTGAGTTTGTGTTTGAGTGAGTCAAAACTTGAATTTGTATTTAGATAGTATTTTAATAAAAACTCAATGCAAATAAAAAATTTTAATAGGGTATATGGGTCGAGTTTTATTCGTCTTTTCGTTATCAACATATAGAAAAAAAATAATCTCAATCAGAATTAAAACAAAAAAGTTATAGCATTTTTAAGAATAAAAAAAATACTGTTCATTAATTTGAGTTTGAGTTTCTGAACTCGAGTTGAAGGAGAAACTTGAACTCGAGTTTTAGTCCTAAACTCGAGTTTGAACTCGAGTTTAAACTTAAAAGAACATGAACTCGAATAAAGTTGTAACTCGAGTTGCTTTTTTTTGAGTTTTTCACTCAAAAGAACAAGCCCTTAAAAATCCCAGGCTTTGTCACGATACCAAAGGGGATGAAAAGTGGTGGATTTGTGGTGCTGAAATACTTGAATGCATCCATGACCCTATTACACGTTTATTGAAACCAAAAAAAAAAAACCGGACAGACATATTTTTCCATTTATTTGGAGTTCTCAATCTGTGTCCCAAGAGTGTGTTTTAATTTATATCCTAATAAAGTTATCATGAACACCAACAACAGAACCTCCGAGTGTTTGTCTCCATCTTAAATCTCCACAAAAATTCTTGCTGATTCTTGTTTCAACTAGCTAATAGAATTGCCAGTGAACAATAAGGGGGGAAAGTCTTGAACAGGGAGAAAATTAATTCGGTCATCTAAACTATGGAATCACACCAAAAGCTACTTTTATGAAAATAACCTTTGAAAATGCTATTGTGCGACAGACACATCACACACACATCGCATTTACGTCGAACAATGAAACATGGATTTATTCAAAAGGTTCCTCGAACGACAAAGAGTTGGGTCAATTATGCAATAAAATGTGTTGAACATGTTTTCCATCTCTTCTCGATAAGTAGGTTATTTCTTTTGAGAAATTTTGCTCAATTTTTCATGTGACAATTCCGACAATATTTCTTTTTTAATTGGGGAAAAATTTATACGGATCATATTTTAAGTAACATATCAAGAAGAAAATTAGATTTAGTTAAATAATGTGAGATCGGCAACCATGATCAATTTCTTAACAAGACATATAAATCTACGGAAATATGTAATTTTGGTAATGATTTCAAAGCTTGGGAGGAAGGAAATATATGGTCCGTTTAATTCGCTGATTTGAGTTTTTAATTCAAATTAAGATGTGACTTTATGTAATAACTTTTTACTGTAATAAAAAAATTACTAGTGACTGTTTCTTAGAGCTTTTAACTGTAACAAAACTCAAATTTTAAAATCAAATCGATATAATGAACGGACCATAATATTAAATCATCATCATGCTTGAAACTTACAAGTAAATTTTAATAAAATAATATCGCTAGAAGTTAGTTTATGGCATTATTTTATCATTTTTATAAAAATATAATATTAATATTCTTTATATTTTTGAAACAAAAAGCTTTCTTGTTCGAGACCGCTATGAATTCGATAATCACCTGGCTTGACCTGCCATTGTTTGTCTCTAAAAATTGCATGTCCGATCTTTTCCTTGTCTTTGACCATGAATATTGTTCATTTCCTTCCTTTTGGCCAAAAATCTACCAAACAGTTAAAATTACTTCAAAGATGAACAAGATATTTCCATATCAGTATGAAATACTATCAGTATGAAACAATTGTAGTCGATTAACAGAAGAAAACCCTGCTAGCCACACTAAAACCACAAATTTTAAAAAATAAAAATAAATCCTTACAAAAACAAATAATATATATAAACCCGACATCTTAAATGGGGAATCGGGTATTATTTAAAAATGCACACCCTATTGATGACTAATAAATAAATGAACAGTTGATGCCTTTTGCTGCTATGAAGCAACCATTATCTGGCCAATGGAAATTGACAACATGAGCTCATGAATATTTTTTTGTCTAGTTAATGGAAGTTAAAATAAAAAATAATCCATTAGTCAAATAGTAAGGCGTCACTTATGTTTATATAGCCTACATGACCACAAACTACACGGCTGAAATTGGGTAGAGATAGTAGCTTCTTGACCTTTTTTTAATTTTATTTTATAACCTGCACCTGCACCTCTATGCCCCACGAAAAAGGATGCCGGAGTTGGACTTAATGAACACCAGGGGGCGGCGACGCCCGAAGTGGGGCAGCGCCGGCGGTAAAAAAGGATGGGCACGATGAGATTTTGGCTTGAAAAGGGTTTTTTTTTTTTTTTTTTTTTTTTGTAGGAATCATATGGTTTTTTTTTTCTTTTATCAATTCCTTTTTTTTCATTATTGTAATTTTATTTCTTTTATGACAAGGGTACTTTAGATAAGGCAAAACTTTTATTAAAAGAGAAGACTATCAATGCAAAATTTTTAGATGGAGCGCTAATGACTCGAAACGATGTTCAATATAAGGTTATTTTTTAAAGTGGTCCGTGAAGAGATGGCTACGTATCTATTCAGTTCTTTTTTCTGATCGTAGCAGAGCTGATTTCCTCATGTTTCTATGGATTGAATCCGATGATTTTTTTTTTTTCCTGAGGAAAAACTACTTTTAAGATTTACTTGCCTTAGAAAGAGAGGGAGGGAAAAAAATATTATCGAGTGTTAAAAATAAACGGTGAGTAATGCTACCTTTGGATCCAGAACTTTGCATTTCATTTTTCCCATCGTAGTTCGTTTGTTATCAGCTATCAGATCGATCGGACCGTTCTTATTACGTATCCTACCAGTAGGGAAGAGTAGGCGCCCCACGATAGAGATGCCCTTTTTTTATTTAACAAATGTGTAGAATATTATTCCCGGTAGTGGAATTAGACTTGGCACTTACCAGTTGCCAGGTCTCGTTGGTCCAGTCTTGTGTAGAGTAATGAGAAAGGTCGGACCTTGTAATTTTGAAATACTTTTAAATCAACCAAACTTTGGTCAGAAAATTTGAGTTGGTCTTTTTGCTTTAGCCTATCAAAAGCCACCGAGAGTACTCATCTCCATGTTCTAACGTTGTGGAAAAATAGGGCGCTCCTGTATTCAAACAGGCTAACAACGACTCTCTCATTATCAAAAAAAAAAAAAACATGTTCCCTACCAATCGCTTTCAGTCCCTAACCTAAACCAACAAGTAGTAGCAAGATTGTTCATTAATTAATCAGGTTTAAGCACTAAATAATTAAGAGAAAACAATGGCAAAATATTTCCAAGAAAAGGAAAGGGAAAGATCAACGCACCGCACATCACCGTTTCTCGTCTTTCGTTTCATTTTCTTCTGCATTTTCCACCTAAACCAACCTCAAGTCTCACACTTTCTAGTCTTGCAAACACAGCTTAGAAAACCCAAAAAAGAAAAGCCGCAGAGAAAGGAGAGGAAGACCAGGGTTTCACCATGGATAGGCTGGTGAAGCCAGACGTGAAGGAGGTGGAGCTGAGCTTCAAGAGTGGCCAGAAGTGCAGCGCAGTCTTTAGGTTGACGAACCTCATGCACACCATGACCGTCGCAGTCTCTCTCAGCACCACAAATCCTGGTGTCTTCTCCTTTCCCCAACCTTTCTCCATAATCCCGCCTCTGTCCTCTGCAACCTACACGCTTCTCTCTCAGCCGTCGGATCAGCCCCCTCTCCGCTCCCCTCACGACGTCATCACCGTCCGTTCCGCCATGCTCCCCACCGGAAAGGCCCACCAGGAGGATCTCCGCCGTCTGTTCTCCGCCCCCGGCCGCCACGTGTTCAGGGACGCCATCATCCCTATCTCCTTCGTCGGTCCACAGGTCGTCGAGTTTCTGATCTCTCATCACACCAGAGTCCCGGAGGTGAATTCCTCTCTGAATAAAGCGATCTCGGGGTGTTCCGAGTCTCAGCTCGCGAAATTGCTAAACCTGGCCGTGCGATCGGAGAACGCGGATTTGGTCTCTGCTCTGATCGACAACGGTGGCGATGTGAACTTCAGAGATTCCGATGGAAGATCGCTGCTATCTTCGGCCGTCATGTCAGGCAAGATCGAGGTAGTGAAGGTGTTGATAGCGTCCGGTTGCGAAATCGATAACTCGATCGACAAGGTTTTGTACGAAGCGGCGGCGAAGAACCGAGTCGATTTGATTGAAATTCTCTGCAAGAGCAGGTCGAACATCAACGTGAATTCGGTCGATTTGGATACTCGGACTGCGATTCACGTCGCCGCCGCTCGCGGCCACGTCGAAGCCCTAAAATTCCTGCTCTCGATCGGCGGAAACGCCGATTTAGCGGACGACAGAGGATGGACGCCGCTCCACCATTCTTCAGCGGCGGGCCACCTGGAAGCAGTCGGAACCCTACTGGAGCACTCCAACGCGAAGTACGCCGTCGATATAGACGGAAAGACGGCGTTCGCCCTCGCCGCCGAGAACGGCCACGCCGAGCTGCTCCCGCTGCTGCGGCTGAACGACGCGCTCCACCGGGCGTCGAGGCTGGGCGACGTGAGCGGGGTGAAGAGCTGCCTGGCGGAGGGGGCGGCGGTGGACGGGAGGGACCAGAACGGTTGGACGGCGCTGCACAGGGCGGCGTTCAAGGGGAGGATCGAGTGCGCGAGGGTTTTGCTTACCCATGGGGCGCAGGTGGACGCCGTCGACGACGCAGGGTACACGCCGCTCCACTGCGCGGTGGAGGCGGGACATGCAGCAGTGGCGATGCTGCTCATAGCTCACGGGGCTCGGGCGAACGGGAAGAGTCTGAAGGGAGTTGTTCCTCTGAATCTGGATCGGTTCAAGAATCATCCGGCTCTTGTTGCTCGCTCGTTGTGTCGTGAGAAAGAGCGGGCTTGAGACGCCGCCATTGTTGTGTTTGTTGAGGTGCTTCTGGTAAAGCGCTCTAATTTGTATATAACTAATTACGTGGTTTTCGTTTCAGTGTTGGGGTAGAGAGAAACACAGAGAAGAGAACGGATTCTGTTTTGTGTATGTTCCGCTCCTCAACCGATTAAGCTTGATAAATCAGTTTTTGTGTAACATGTACATTATGAACTATGGATTCATGAAATGAATTCAGATTTTTGTTTTTGAGGTGTGTGTGTGTGTGTTTTTTTTTTTTTTTTAAGTTCTTCAGCAGTGTTACTTCTTTCTTGGCATTTTTTACAGAGTGAAGGTTAATCAGTTTGTCCTTCGCCATTGTTTCTATCTGCAATAAATCTGAATATGTCACCCCCAGGACACCCAAGGGCACTCCCGGTGATGTGATAGGTGGAGCACAAACACAAGCACAATATTTAAGAGATCCATTGAGTCTATTAAGTGATGTGGTGACAAGACTTAGAGTCAAACGCTTCAAGTAAATATTAAACGGGCTGGTTCAACAAGTTGCAGATATGGCAAACACATGGAGGCCCAACTTAAGTCCAAACCCGAATGAAGAAAATCTAGTCGCCATGATTAAGGTTCTAGAAGATTTAAGTTGAAGTGCAAAGAGCTTAACAAGGGGTGTCCAATTCAAGTTGGCCGCATTGGGCCTAAGGGAATATTTGTGGCCGAATTGGCCTTGGAATTGTATAGGGTCCGAATTGGACTTAGATTAGAATAGGGTTAGCCGACTTTGGGCTTTAGCTTAAGTAATTAGATGTTTTAATTTTCATTAGGGTGAAAAACACATCAAAGTATAAATAGGGTTGTAAAACACGTTTTCAGCAATTTATGAATTAATAATCACGTTTGAGATTTTTCATATTTGTACTTCTTGGTTCTTGAGAAGACTATTGAACTTATTAAGTACTTTTCTTGTGGTGTTCAAAACAATCGAACTTATCATTATGATTAACGAGTGATTCTTGAGAATCTTGGTGTGGTGTTCTTCATCTTTCGTAGTTCTTGATTCGCGTCTTGATAGATAATGGGCTAAGGCTCAACAATCTTGCGTCTTGAAGATCTTGGGGTTGTGATCCGCGTTTGGTGTTGGGTCTCGTCACGTCATTGGTGAGGTTCATATCAGTTGGTGTCAGAGCTTGGGGTCCAAGGTAAATTTGACTATCTTTAATCGTTTTGCTAGTGTCTTAGGGTTTCAATTTGAGTTCTTCCTTTTGTTCTTGCTTTGATTTGAGATTTCTGAAAATATTCAAAAAAAAAAAGTCGGGATTCATAGAGTTTCTTGAGGCCGAATACCTTGCACCTGCCTCTAGGGTTTCGTTTCCTTGTTAAGGTCGATTATCCTATTCTCAAACAAAAAAAAAAGAATCGGATTGAATATGATAAGTGGTTGCAGGCCGAATTTAAGATAGAGTTCTAATCCTAAGGTTTCCTCGTTGAACTTGAATTTGGGGTTTCTTAGGGTTTTCTAAACCTAGTTGGAACTTAATTAGGTTTTCCTTCCTTCCTTGTTGCTATCTTTGGCCGAAAACTTCATAAGAAGTCCTAGTTTTCAATCAAATTTGACTTAGGTTCCTTTATTGGCCAAACTTTACGTTTAAGAAAAAAAAAAAAGAATCCGAAAAAAATTGGAGTACTGTGACTTAAACCGGCCATAACTTTTGATCCAAAAATCGTTACGGGGCCTATAATATACCAAATTGAAGCTAAATTCGAGGCACCCACGGAATTGTTGGGAATGGTGTCCTAGAAGCATAAGATGTAATAGGATATTTATTATCTATTTAATAAAAGAGTTTATTCATCATTTTACGTGTATATATTTGTGAATATTTTATGAATATCAATCAAAATTTCGTGATTATTTATGTAACCTTAAACATTGTATATAAGTGTTATATACGAAAGGATAATGTTTAAGGATAATAATCAAAAAGCAATGTTCATAATGAATTTAATTAAAGTTCAGAATCTTTAATTAAAACATTATTAATACATGTCATTCCCATTTAGAATGGATCGGTGTTATCCGCACTGTTAATATGGTGAGATATTGAATGAGTGTATTTCGCATAATAAGATTATGTGGAACAAGGACACAGACACAATATGATTTTTTAATAATTTTCGTTAAGTATAGAAATTCTAATTAAGTCTACTGATGGTCATATATAGAGTGATCTTAATCCTAAGTTCTTAACAGACTCCTATTTATGGATTTGTGTCTTTTGATTTACTCGGTACGGATTCTGAGATCCTGAATCCTATTCCTTGTATTTTCATATTCTACCTGTTTTAGGACAAGTGGATCCATGTTGGGAATGGTGTCCTAGAAGCATAAGATGTAATAGGATATTTATTATTTATTTAATAAAAGAGTTTATTCATCATTTTATGTGTATATATTTGTGAATATTTTATGAATATCAATGAAAATTCCGTGATTATTTATGTAACCTTAAACATTGTATATAAGTGTTATATACGAGAGGATAATGTTTAAGGATAATAATCAAAAA